CCTTGTTTTATAGTAGTCATGCATCTATTAAGAGGTAGGAGAAAAGTCTTACCATGTCTTTTCCCATTTCAGGTCTCAGAACATCAAACAACATCTACACATCAGGACAATGAATGTGTCCAACAGCTGCAGTGTCACAAATCTAGAACTGTATCACCATGTTCATCTCATTGAATTTGCCCTGTATAACCTAGTTTTCTTTTTTGGAGCACTATTTAATGCCCTTGCCCTCTGGGTGTTCTTCTGCAAGATGAAGAAGTGGACAGAAACCAGGGTGTATGTAATCAATTTAGTCCTTGCAGACTTCTTCGTCATCTGCACTTTGCCTGCCATGGCTTATTTGCTCTGGAATAAGTCAACACGAGATGAACTCTGCCAGTTTACAGAGGCAATGTATACTGTCAACATGGTAGTGAGCATCTACATCATTTCATTTATCTCCATCGATCGATACATTTCCATAAAGCACCCCTTGAAAGCCAGGATCTTCAGGTCTCCATCAAAGGCTGCCCTTCTCTGTGGGCTTCTGTGGGTCTCTGTGATAACTGGTGTTACCTTACATCTTTGGTGGAGACATGCTGATCTCTGCTTTCAGAAGGATACCACCGCGCCTGCTACTCTGAGCCTGCTTTCCATTTTCTTCGTTTTCACTCTTCCATTAGCAATCTTGACTTTTTGCTCCACAGAAGTAATCAGGAACCTTAAGAGACATCTGAACACAAATTCACCAGAGAAGGAATTAATCCAGAAAGCTGTTCACATCATGTATGCAAATCTGATTGTATTTCTAATATGTTTTCTGCCAGCCTACCTTGGGGTACTTGCCAGATTCATAATGGAGAGCATTGGAGCTACCTGTTTCATGCTCCAGGTTATGAAGAACTTCTCTTCCGTGACGAGGTGTATTGCCACGTCCAACTGCTGCTTGGATAGCGTCTGCTACTACTTTGTGACCAAGGAGTTCCATGAAGCCCTTCTGCTGTCCAAACCCAGCACTGAAAAAACAGATCAAGTTGACCCCTTGCAGACACACACTTGCTAAAGGAAGCGGGGGGGAGCAGGGGGGATGAAAAACACCAAACCCAAAAAACCCCACAACAACTCTGTAACATCAAGAGAAAATACAGCTTCGGCATTATTGGGATAACTACTACTCTTTCTCTCTAGAGAGATCTTTGTTAGGTTTACCATTACTAAGTTAATTGCGATTTATACTCTATGTTTCTATTAAACAAGTAAGTTATTTCACAGAAATGTGTAAAAGTGTGTATGGAATCGCTGGTCGTTAACACGTCTCCATTCTACCCTACAGCACCTATATGTTACTCTTCAGGAAGACAGGTGACCCATGTATGTCTCCCTGTTTTAGTTCATTTTGCAGCTGAAGTCAATTGGTCCTTTCTGCCAACACGTACAAAAGAATACATCATGTTTTACCTCATTGTGTTTTTCAGGTTGTTTGCATTATTAAAATAATCCAGTTTATTTTTATCATATTTCTTTGGCAGGCTGGGGGGGGGCAGAGTTCAGGCAGTCCCAGCATATTACTAAGTACATGGCCCTACAAAACAGCCTAGACTCTGCTGACTGCCCTTCCCCTTCAAGTCAATGGGTCAGATAGATATGAAGGAACACTTAGAATGAAAGCAAGACTTGCCCAGTGCTATAAAGGCACAAAGTCCAGGAGATTTCAGAGCTGAGTCCTCCTGCCAGTTCTCCTCCTGCTGCAGTGCTGAGCCCTGGCACAGAGACACCTCCTTCGAGCAGCCATCCCCAAGGGGCTGCTGCTCCCACCTGTGGGGAAGCCTTTTAACTCTGTCTAGACCTTTGTCACCTGTGCATTGCTATTCCCTAGGTTTATGTTGTGGCACCAGGCTGGCCCCCAGGTTCATCCTCCCAGCCACAGCTCAGGGTCAGAGTATCATCTCCCAGCTGAACCCCACAGCTGGACACAGCTGGGTCCAGGTTTCCACAGCCTGCCCACATTGACACCCCTAACGTTTCCATGGGGGAAATGCATTTGTCCATGAGTCAGCAGCCTAGAAAAGTCAGGGGAGATGGGGAGTGGGTTGACCCCCTACATGTTATTCAAATGCTCCCTAGGACTGGGCTTTTTTCTTTCCAAATACTGAAAAATCTCCAAGATGGCCTCTGAGCTCTGCCCTGGCAATGCTCAGAGCACTCCAGGAGACAGTGTGGAGGAGTCTTCCCTGCCCATTTATGTAGTTTCCCTGGTGACCTACATCCGCCTCCAGGGAGCCCACGGCTGCTGCTCAATCTGCTGTTGTCACCTTTGGGATTGCGAGCTCAGGAGATATGAATTAATGGGACAAATCCTGAGGAAGTCAGAGTCTGGCTCCCATCAGCTGGCTCACATAGATGGGACTGCAACCGCTGTGGCCAACAGACAGCAAAAGCCATCAGAATGATTATAAAATACCACTGGGCCACGTTCTTAAACATGTTTCTAAAGGTCCTGACACCTATGGTGGGCTCACTGCCACACTGGTCTCTCTCACCCGTGCCCACTTGGCAGCAACTATCATTATCAGCTTCGGCTTTCCAGTGATGCTGATGAGCAGTGTTAGACACTTGGCTACTTTGCAGAGGACAAGCAGGCCCATAACATCTGTCACCTTTCTTGTAAAGACACCGAAGAGAAGCATGCTGGGTGCCCTCGCTCTGGGCTGACTGTCACGGGGTGCACGAGCACCGACGTGCCCCTTCAGAAAGGCCGTCGGTCCCCGCACTGCTGCCTGCCTGGGGTGTGCTCTGCACCCGCACCAGAGGCTGCACGGTCTGCTGTGCTCCCTGGGGGACCTTTCGCTGCCAGAAGGGCAATTTGCAACCATTAAGGGTTTTATTTCAGAAATTATTTGTTTTCCCAGGACTGAAAATATTAAATTTTAATAGCTAGTTTGTGTGAGGTGAGTGGGAGGACAGCAGACTGGGTGGAAAAAATGATGGTGAAGCATTGAGCTGATGTGAGTAGAACAACAGAGGGCACCAGAGACACGACCATCCGCAAAAGTAGGTGATAAATGAAGCACTTTGGGGGAACAAGAGTTCATTGCTGTGTTTCAGCGCTCTCGAGCTGTTGACAGCAAGCTCCCAGGCAGCTGTGCCCTGCACGAAGCAGCAACCTGCACCCACAGTCCCGACAGATCTCCTCCTGTGCCAGGACGCCTGCGTCGACACTGCAACCTTTCTGAGGACTAAACCCATTTGATGGCCCCACAAGAAGCAGGTAATGTCTTTTAATTCTTCCCACATCGGTGTGTGGCAGCATGCTCTGCTCAGCACTTCAGGGTGTGCTTTCTCACCTCTTAACTGAAGCCCTAGCCAGGACTACGTGCTTGTTAACATACGGGTCAAAACTCAGCTGTACACAAATGCCTCAGTTTCCTCCTGCTTTCATAGCTGTTATGCCTCACTCTTTTGCAGCCACGTGTGTCATTCAGGGGGGTCTTCATCCCTTGCCGTGATTTCACGCCAGTGTTTCTTTCCATGCCTCTTCCGCGAGCGTGGAGACACTGGGCTCCAGGCACGCTGGGGCACAGGACCTTGGGAACCACCACCAGCTCTGTGGTTACATGGGCAATTCAATGGGGCTGGGATGCCCAGCCCAGCCTGGAGGGCTCAGCTGCTCCTCGGGGCAGTGCTATGCATGCAGAGAGTGGCTTTTTCACTGCAGGATGACCACAGTAGGCTGGCAGGGAATGGCTGAAGGGTAGGTGGTACCACAGTGCAGCCAAGGACCTATGAGGCTGAAAGCTCAAGAGAGATGGGGCACCAGCTGTATGTTAGTTCCTTGATAAATTCGACCCTGAAAATGACTGTATCCCTGTGGTTCAGTAATGTCATACCAGTTCTGGTGCCAGGGCAGGTGCTGCACTTTCCTCCGTGGTTGCCAGATCTGTCTTTCAGTCTCGGACACTAAAAACAGTTCACTTAGTTCACGCAATCAGACATTTTCACTACCATTTAGATGTTGACGCTTAGAAGCCACTGACTTATAAGGCAATGTATTTATAAGAGATTGTAGGAATCTGGGCATTTTCCTTTCCTGCCTCACTGTCAACACTTCCTTTATGAGCTGCAGACTAAGTCTGATTCATCCTCCGCAGCCTCCTTGCTGGTAGCAGATGCCCTCAAATATTTAAAGGAATACCAGGAGATAGCCTAAGTTCTTGGATTTGTGTTTTCAGCTCTAGCAGTATTTTGGCTTCCTGTCTTTGAAGGCTGAGATCAGACATGTGTGCTCACTTTCCCTTCTCTCTTTGGAGACCTGTTATCTGCTAGGCCTGGTGGTACCCATGCTGAGCTATTCCTCCCCAGCATCCTGCAGCAAGAGGAGCGGGTTCATGCTTGGGGGCAGCCTGCCCACAGCAGGCACCCACCCACCAGCCTGCAGCTGTGTTCCCACCGCCCTCAGGAGTAAAGCCACCTGAGCTACCTTACGGCTGGAAGGGCTCAAGTCCTGTGCAGGTTTGCAGGCCTGGCAAGACCCAGAGCAAACCCATGAGGTGGCTTCAGCAGCAAAACAAGGGCCTTGGAGGGCAAAAGGGGAAGGCTGCCCAGTTCTGCTTTGGGCTGCCCTAAAGCCAGTGGCTCTCTGATAACCACAGCAGCAGCAAAGATAAGGGACCACAAAAATTATCATCCTGCTTTGCAGAGCCTTTGGTATTAGCCAAACTGTGCAAACCAGGACTCGATGGAGGGCAAGGCAGGCTTAACCGCGCAATAGTTGCAAGAGAGGGTTGCCTCTATTTTTTTTTGTGTTAGCTGGTGGCAAGCGACAGTGTTACTTTGATAGCTGAGGGACGGGTTGTGCTGATGAGCCACAGAGCCCCTCCAGGGGTTGCCTGCATGTGCAGCGCAGGGGCGCAAGGAGGCACAGAGCCACGAGAGCAGGGGCACTGCAGCACGACCCAGCCCAGGGGATCTGTCCCTGAGCTCGGTCTCATGGCTGCACCCTTTTCTTGCAGAGACGGCCCAACATGAAGAACTGCAATGAAAGCAACAACACGCTGCAGGATGACATTGTGCATTTTCAGCTTATCGTCTACATCCCAGTGGTCTCTCTGGGGATCCCACTGAACATGATTGCCTTCTGGGTCTTCTGCTGCAAACTCAAGAGGTGGACCGAGACCAGGGTGTACATGATCAACCTCATGGTCGCAGATAGTTTCCTGCTCTTTGCCATGCCTTTCCTGATATATTTTACCAAGTACAACTATCCCATAGACAAGCTGTGTCTCGCCATACAGAACATCTATTTTACAAACATGCCTATGAGCATCCTTATCATCACCCTGATTGCGACTGATCGATACATCGCCATCAAGTTCCCTCTAAAAGCAAAGATTCTTCGATCCCCACTGAGATCGGCTTCTATCTGTGGGTTTCTTTGGATAGTGCTGATAATTTATTCCTACTTGCGTCCAAAACTTCACAGAACAAATGAAAGATTCTGCTTTCAGAAACAATCTGTTCAACCTAATTATGTATTGTTATTCTCCATTATCTTTCAGTATTTTATTCCCTTAGGGATTGTGATTTTTTGCTCAGTACAAGTCATCAAATGTCTCAAAAAGAAGATGGCCACGAGCCCTCATGAGACAACGTTAGTCCAGAAAGCAATCCACATTGTTTCTGTAAATTTGTGTGTGTTCATCGTATGTTTTTTACCTCTCCACATCACACTGCTCTTGCGGTTTGCAGTGGATGTTGCTGGAGCTTGTTCTCTGCTCTCGGAAGTTAGAGCCTCTATTCAGATCTGTGGATGCTTAGCAAATTCTAACTGCTGTTTGGATGCTTTTTGCTATTACTTTGCAGCCAAAGAATTTCAGGAATTTCCTTCTCTGTTCCCTAATTATATATCAATGAGGTTCAAGATGAACCAAAGCCAAGAGTCACAGCCACCCACTGATCAAGTCATGACATAAACCAGGTGTAGTGCACTATAGGTGTTAAGAGCCACAGTGCTGTTGAAGTTTCAAGGCAGAGGGAATGGGACCACCTACAGTATTTGCAATCATTGTAGGTATAGGCCTACCTGCAAAAAGGGGCCACCCCCTCCAAGGGGTCTGATATTAACTTGAATTTTGTCCTTCTGTCCTCAGTGACTTGACTCCAGCTCTGACTATTGTCTTGGATCGTTGTATCGCAACTTCAGGTGTCTCCTGGTCAAGAGGGAGAACTACGTGGTGTGGAGAATAGATTATAAGGCCACTGTTCCCGCCAGGCGCTTATTTGTACATATCATGCAGCTAAACATAGGAAACTGAGCACCCTTACAGCAATACACAAAACCACTTCTAGTACTGTAATATATATGGTCACTTAAAACCAAGAAAAAGCCCCTGTACTACAATGCCAAACCTAATACATCTGTGCTGCTCACATCAAAGAATTTACCCATAGTTTCCTGCCAACCTATATAATTTTGAAGCTTGCAGCTATCGCCAGGATGCAGCTATTGCTGTGCATGGAGTAAACTGCAGGAGTCAGACAGTGGCCTGGGACTGTTGCCCCATTCCTGCCACGTAACACTTGTATTATCTTGTGGCAATGCCCTGGCATTTGTGAGTCTAAAATTATTGTGGGTATAAATAAAGCCCGCATGGGGGCCTGCATGGAAAAATTGAGCTACGCAAAGCATTGTGGACCACAGAACAGACCCTTAGCATTGTACATATCAAGTACAAAGCCGTGAAGATCTGATCTCACCCAAGCAACTACCAAACCCTGGCGACAGGTTGTTTGTTGCACTTTAATGGGATCAAATCTTCAATGGGTGTTCTGTCTGGTGAGAGGTGATCACATCTGCCCGAGTCGTCTCAGCCTCACGCTGCAGGAATGTTTATGCCCAGAAAAGAGCAGTGAGCAACACAAAGCAGATGCAGCCCTGATCCCTCCCTCACCATGCAAGAACAGTTTTCAGGGGAGGTTTGGTAAGAGTGGGATGTGTAAGGCCCTTCTGCAGAGACAGGGCAGACCCACGGCTGAGGGCTTCTTGGCATTGCCCTGTGTGATGAAGCATTGCTTTGGATTTGAGTTTTTTTCTCTTTCAGTTGCTTGAACAGTGCACAGTGAGGGTTCAACTGCTCTCCTGCACCTCATTTTGAGACAGTTAGCTCTTTCCATGCACTATACAAAGAGCCTTGATCTATCCTAGCTGGATCCCGGACCAGGCATCAGTTTTAATGTCTGGCTTTCCAGGTACCAAATTCCTCTATAATATCTGTGCTTGCTGACTCTGCACCACATATCCTCCCACCCCACAGGGAAGGGACAACAGAGCAGCTCAAAACGGTTAAGCCACAAAGGGAGGCCTTGGGGCACTGGAAGGAAGTGACCCGTAGAGAAACCTGGGCTGAGAGGGGAGCTAGTGCCAGGACGTGACTGCTTCGTGTTTATCTGCATAGAAATTTCATCTAACATTTTACCGCATAGTCACTTCAATAACTTAAAGTCAGCATGGAAACATTATACAGTTTTTGAAATGCATGGGATATCTGTATCTCAGTTGGCTTTATGGTCCTTGACTTTCAGTGTTTTCTGACTTATAAACCCCTAAAAAATTCCTCCAGGGAATGCAAACCTATATTCTGCTCATTTAAATCTACAGACAATTAACTTTCTTAGTGACAGCTTACAGATAGTTCCCCTACAAGTGGCCTGCCACCTTCTAGTGTCTGCAGATGACATGCTGAAACCATTATCTAGACATTGGCCAAACAACATAGGAAACAACTGTTCCCATCACAGAAAGTACTCCCCATCCAAATGTTAGATCTGCCTGCTTTGTGTCAATACTTTGGCAGAGGTCCCAGTATGATGGAAGCTGCAGTGAGCAACTGTGGCATAAAAATGGATGAAACTACCCAGGTCATTCAGTTGATCATTTATGTCCTGATTTTCTTTGATGTATTATTTAATGCTCTGGCCTTATTGGTATTTCATTGCAAGCAGAGCAAAAGGGCCATGTGTGTACTTGAACAACTTAATCATTGCACACTGTTTGGCCCTCATTCTGCCTTTTCAAGTCTCTGTTCAAAGACAGGAAAAGACACAAGAGACAAATGGTGACTGATATTAAAAACCACCTATTGCTTTAAGGAGATGCATGAGTGTTGTCACCCTTGTAGCTGCCAACAAATACGCTGCAATCAACCATCTTCAGAGAGCAAGAGGCTTAGGGTCCCTGGTAGCTCATTTTCCTTTATGGTGTGCTGTCCATCTTCACGACAGGCATCACTTACGTGTCCAAGCAAGTGGCGTTCAGCAAGGAAAAAGACTTGTGTTTCCAGAAACAGCGCAGAGGGCCTTCAAAAACGCTTTTGGTTCTGGGATCCCCTTCTGGGATTTTGCATCTCATTGGTTATAATGAATGCCTGTTCCAAACAGATTATTATGAAAATTGTTATTATTTTGAAAGAAGATGAAGGTTGATTCATATCAACCCGTTATCCTACTGTTAATCCAGAAAGCAAACAATCCAGTCATGTTCATGTTTTCTACCTGTTAACGTGGGGCACCTTGTCCAATTTACAATGGGCTCCAGTTAAGCCATCTGCTCTGAAATACAAAACAGTAATGCTTTTGTGCATGTGGCGTCATGTATAGGCCTCATAGTATAGCAAATACTAACTGCTGTTGAGGTGCCATTTGCTGCTGTTTTGTGACCAAAGATTTTCAAAACACTTTCTTCTTACCCAAGCCTATAGTTTTTAAATCAAGGAACGATCACAGACAAGGCACTCTATTAAACTAAACAGCTGCAGTGGTTTCACCCCAGCCAGCAGCTAAGCACCACACAGCCACTCGCTTACTCCTTGTCCATGCCAAAACCAGTACAACAGCTGTGCTAAAGAATTTATAGTTGGCATTCCTTTACATAGCCAAGTTTACTGCATATAGAATTGTATGAAGTGAATGTTTTTTTCTTGTAGGAAGCAAACTGAGGTCTCCCACCATTCATGTTCTAAATTTAAAAAATAAAGTGTTCCTTTTTCTTATTGTAAAGCAGAAATTTGTTGACTTCACAATCCCCGTAATCATTAAGTTATATTTTTTGTTGTTTGTACTGAACACTACAAAAACAAAAAAGGAAATATTCTTTTGCAAGTGAAAACAAAGATATCTCATAGTAATATGTCTATAAATAAATATTCATTTATTACCATGATACATCAGAGTCCTCTATTATTAATGCTAAGCCTATACTGGAGATTGTGAGAGGAGACTTAGCTACCATGATATAAGATCTGCCTTACAACAGGATATTTATAGTGCAACCCACAGATGAGCAAGGAACTTTCTGATTACCTGAAGATGTATGTATACCTTGGACAAAAATTATTATCTAGTTTACATGTCAAGTTATAATGATGTCTATGATGGGTTTCTGACATCCTTCTTCAGTCTGAACAAAACTTCAGCTCCCCGAGTGCTCCCAGTAAATGGAACAGATGCGTTATCAGCACCTGGGCCACAACAAACTACCAGCCATCACACAGCACTGCAATAGCAATCCATGAGGACAGCAACATGGTTATCCACAAATCTTTCCCATTTCCTAGCACAAGAGTCTGGCTGACAACAGCGGGGAGCAGCAGCCACAGTCCATCAGCAGCTCCAACAAGCAGGGCTGGACCACTGCATTCTGCTAATGTTTCAGCAAGATATGATACCTCTGTCCCTTAAAAGAAAAGTATGCTAAAAATAGCTTAAATTTCAAATGAGCAAATTGATGCTGCAGTCAAAATTTAGGCCTGAGAGAAAAGAAAAAAAAAAAAAAAAAAACAAACAACAAAAAAAACACAAGGAAAAGCCTACAAAGTAATCCAGAATCTTGCTTCTAAGTGAGTAGCCATCAGGTTTAGCGTTTTTGGTCCTTCTAAGCAGGGAAGGCAGGGGCTGGCACAAGACAGTATTCTGCTGTTTGGTGGCATTTGGGCAGGCCTGAAATCTGAGTTCTCAGCAGAGGTTTGTGCTCCTGCAGCAGTCCTCTCCCGGGGGCTGAAGGACACACATCAGGGAGTTCTGCATTTTAGCAAGCCGGGTACTGCTTTCAGGTTTTGGAGTTATATCTGTGTTTTTGGTTTCTCAGTGCAGCGCAGTTGCTCCAATCGCAAGCATTGCCCAGCGGTCTCCAAGGGACTCTGCAAGCACTGAAGCAGCAGCAGGCAGCTGGGAAGCACAGGCTTTGCCATGCCCCCCCTGGTATGTTTGCACAGAGATACATGGCCAATCCCTTCAGTGTTGATGCTGTGGGAGCATGGAGAGGGCTATAGTACAGAGAGCCCTGTGAGCGCATTATCTGCCGTGGCTCAGTTCCTGTGTGGTGCTAAGGAAGGGGAAAGGGGAAACAGTCTCAACAGCCAGGGTGGGTCACTGTGTGCGGTTGAGGCAGTTAGCCTAACACTACCATTTCACAGGCTTTCCATGCTAAAAATGACTGACGCGTTCTGCTCCCAACCCCATAGTTTTGTTTTGGTCAAGATCGTCTGTTGCAACATCACATCTTCTTGTGAGAAAGCCAGGAAAAAACCACACGGGGCAGAGGCACTGCAGAACCCAAATGCCACAGGGTAGCAGAGTGTCCCGTACCCCCCTCGCACATGTGGAGGGAGTACCGGTATTTCTCTTACCTTGCCAGAGGCCTTGTTCCACTGTGATGTGCCAGTGACTGGAGGCAGCATGGCACAGTCTCTGGGAGGTAGAGGAGACCGAGATTTTCCAGGGCAGGGAACAGAGGCAGGAGTCCATCAAACCTGAGCTGTCCTGTCTATTAACAATCTGTACCAGGAGCACAGGAAAACCTCATGAGAAGGGCTTTCTCTGGCTGGGAAACAACCTCAAGTGGGACATCAGGCAGAGTTTTACAAGGGAAGGAAAACTGATTGCGGAGAATAGAAATAAGTCTTAGAGATCAAGACGCGTAAAGATCAAACAGGCCTTAGCAAATTCTTCCCTTACATATGAAAAGCTATCTATATACACAAATTACAAGCAAAGAAATGAGATCACCCAGTACTGCTGATGATAAAAACAAAATTGTCCAGGTATGTCCTGAAAACTACCTGATTACTTTGTCACAGCTTTCAGTAAGGATGAGGAACCCGAGAAGTCTGGAATTTTAAAGGAATTGGCACATGAAATCTCACACCAGCAACAAGGCTTTTAAATAAGTCAGCCAAAATAGGATCAGGGGGCAGAGACCACCACATGCAGTCCCTTCGCTAGGATGGGGGAAGAAAGTGAAGGGTCTAGGCAGTAACAGCTCTACTACGCTCAGACCTGAAAAATGTGCAGTTTCATAACATGTCTAAATGACATTAAATGGGAAGGAACAAATATAAAGGCAAAAGTTAAGTGGTGCTTCACCTTACAGGAGTATTTTGCCTCACTGGCTTCTTTCACTAAGAAAATAACTTTTCCAGCCAAGGTGTGGTAGACTGACATCAGTAAAAGGTCCTTTGTAGCACATTGCAAGTGCTAATGCACTTTGTACAGGCACTGGTACTCAGCAGTGCCGTAGGCCCCTGGACTACCCTGCCGGAGAGCTGCCAGCAAGGAAGTGAGAAAACAGTACAAGTGTCACCTACACTGCGCCACATGGTGACAGCACTCACGGGGCTGAGACAGGCTGAGAACTGCAGAAGCAGGGGAAAATACCAAGTGAGCATCATTGGTCCATGGCAGAGGTGATAAAAACCCGCAACTGGATGGAAGGGGGCCATAAGCAGCTGCAAGAGCCTAGAGGGTGGCTGATGGGGAGCCGAGGCAGAAAGAAGAGAAGCATGAGGATCCTGACCCAGCAGTGTCCAGGAATCAGACAGGGACCCAAAAGCCACACCAGGAGACATGTAAGTTCTCCACAGATAACACCTCATGTAGCTTTGCCTACTGGTAGCTGGTGTTGAGTTGCTCTGACATATCCTAGTGAACCTGCTGATCACAGCCAGCTGCTTTGTGCCTGGTGACAAGGCTTATTCCTCCCTTGAAGCCTCACCGGGCTGATGGGAGACATAGCTGCCCTTGTCTGGCAACCACAGCACCAAGCTGTGGATGGGAAGCATCACACTGGAGAGATGCTATGAGCTGAGCTCCCTCCAGGCTTGATTTTGACTGCTTATGGTTAGTACTGGTAGCCTTGACATAGACAATAGGAGTGCGTGGACAACACTTGAGGATGATGCAAGGTGAAGTGTTTTCTGTACAGTGGTGAAACTATCACAACCCAGGAGCTGAATGACTTTGAAAACTAAAGTACTAACAAGGACCGTGACATGAAAATGGTGGTGGTTGGGGATCAACAAACTGGGTATACTAATAGGTCAGTAGCTACCTATAAGCATCCACCAAGAAGCAGCCACAAGAAAGGCAAAAGCAGTCCCTGGAAATTCAGGAGAAGTATTTAAGCTAAGCTCTATACTGACTATACACTGGCAAGGAATTAACCTCAAAGGCTGGTTTGTAATGCGCAGACAAACAACAAAGAATTACTCCTGAAGCTGCTCTGAGGTGACCTGGAAAGTGGAAAGGGGAAATGCGTTTGCCCAAGACAGCAATTAAAGGTACTAACAGCAGGACCTTTGAGCTTGTTGACTGACTTGTCTGAGCTCTTCTTGTAAATGAGTTGCAATGGACAGCCAAGGAGGAGTCCCTGGCCAGCAGGTACCTGCAACCACAGAGCAGTCACAAAGTCAGCAGGTCACAGGGTCACGGTGCCACGTTTTTCTCAGAATTGCTGGCTGATGAGAACTATGGAAGACAAGAGAATTACCGTGATTCAGAGTGAAACCCAGTTATAATAATCACAAAACTGTTTGCAACCACAACCCTCATCTCTCCAACAGCTCTGTGAAGAGGACTGGGGGCTGGCCAGGACTGCTCTGTCCTGGGGCTCAGCAGTGTGACAGCAGGTGGCAGTCCCCGCTCCAGCCCCAGCAGGAGTGGCAGTCTAGAAGACCGGGAGAAGACCTCAGGACCCTCCAGGGCAACAAGTCCCCTCCAAGCAACGTGCACAGCCTGTTGGGTGAGGAAGGTCAATGGGCATTGCCCAGTAAGACAAAGGCACTGGAAAGTAAATCAAAGGAAAAACCCAAAGCCATTCCATCATCAGAGGAACTGCTGCAGGGCCACACGGCAGATGAGCGTTTCACCTTGCTGCAGGGCTATTGCAAGCTCCTCAGTCAACAGGGGGTGGTGCGAGCCATGCCAGTTGGTGACGGAGGAAGCTCAACCTCGGAGAAGTGCACTGAGGAGGGGTGGGGGTGCTTCCTCCACCAGCGTTGCTGCTGTCACAGCCACCTGCAAATGGTCATCGCGTGACCATCGCTGGTCACGTGCCAGGAGCACTGCTAGGAGGGCTCATCGCGCCTGCACACCGCACCTTGTCTGGAGGAACATTCACTATCTCCAAGGACAGCAAGCAAGCAGGTAATTCCTCCTGACTATTTGCTGACCTGGCTATTTGAGCTCTGCAAGGCGCTGCCTTTCCCCAGCCATGATGGGACACCAAAATGGTGGTGGAGAAACTGAGAGAGGGCTGGAGCCTGTGTATTTTCAAAGGCTTATTTTGATACTGGCCACATTAGACATGTTTTGGATGCTTAAGGGCTGTCTCAGCCTTTGCTAGATCTCCCTGTTGTCTGTTATGATCTAAGTTTATATCTTCTGGGCTCATAACTCATGCCTCGTGTCCAAAGCACAGAGCTGCTGCAGGTATCAGCTGTAGCACATTCCCCGACCTCCAAAGAGGTCTCCTGGCATGATTTCTCAGCAGCATGATTTTCAAAGCTAGCCAAGAGCTGTAGATGCACGTAGATGCTGCAGCATTGTCCTATGGTTTGCTCGCTCGGGATGCTTTTGAGCCCTGGGAACCTGCACCCATGGAGCCATGTTCCCCTTGCAGGCAAAATCCAAAGACATCTCAGACCTCCTGGGTCTTTTCTGCCCATGAACAGTTGCACCTGGAATATAATCCTGCATTAACTCCTCCAAAGCAGGAGGGCAAACAGCAATATTGCCCTTAGATCCAGAGTGCTAAAACCACCCGCTAGACCAGATACAGCTCATCTCTGTTTCACATGGCTGCTGATCACATTTCTTGCCATGGCATTGGTGGGGGGTTTTTTGTCTTGGAATTATGGCAGAGTGGTCTAATACTTCTGAGACGAAGTCCAACTTTCACAATCCTTGAAAGGCAGCATGCAGACCCCAGTACTCCGATTCTTGCTGCAGACAACTAAATGCTACCACTGAGTACAGAATTCAATGGCAGCTAAAACTAATGAGAGATATACTAATAATTGCTCTATCACTGATGAGAAGTGATGCAGAGACAGCTCAGGACTGAAGGAGAGGACAGCTGTCCTTTTGTTGCACATCTCCCCAAGCATTTTGAGCTGTGAGGATGCTGGCTGGCTTCTCCTGAGCACCACTATAAGGGAAGGGATGAGAGCTGGGTTTAGACATCACCTTTCCATTATCGGATGGTTGTAACAACTCACATAACTCCTAGCTGCAGGATACCTGCTGCTGCCTGATCTGAGTCTGGCCCAAAACAGACGCCCAAGCATTTTGCCTTGCTGCCCTCCACGAGCAGTCTTCTCCGCATGGGACCTGTGCTTTTCTCTCCTCCACAACGGATCAGGCTCATGTCCTGCTCCCTTCCCGCTCGGTACCCTACAACCAGCACTGCTCTGCAGAGTCATCTCCATGGTCTGGTTTTCACTGTTGGTAAAGCCCTAAACTATCTGAATTAATCACCGATTCAGTCAAGAGTCTAACTTCTAAAAGGTTTAATCTGCTTTTGCAGGAACCGTGCCTCTTAATACCCCCAAAATGAACCACAGCAGCTGCAGTATCACAGCCTATGAAAACTTTCCACTTGTCCAGCTGTGTGTTTACATCCCAGTTTTGCTTTTGGGCATTTTGCTGAACGTGTTGGCGCTGTGGGTGTTCTGCTGCAAACTCAGGAAATGGACAGAAACCAGAGTATACATGGTCAACTTGGCTGTGGCTGACTGCTTGCTGCTCTTTACTTTGCCTTTTAAAACTTTATCCCAGTTCCATCAGCTGAAGGTGGGTAAATGGTGCCTGGTTCTGGAAGGTGGCTATTTCATAAACCGCTTAATGAGCATTGGTATCATCACTGTCGTAGCAGCTGATAGGTACCTTGCCATCAAGTACCCTTTGAAAGCCAAGGTGCTGAGGTCACCACTGAAGGCAGCTTTTGCCTCTGGATTTCTTTGGATAGTCATCATCTCTGTGATGTCCCTCATTAAAACACTAGAGAACCGAGGACAAGACGAACTTTGCTTTGAAAAATCTTCCGTTGAGCCCTCAGTGATCACACTGTGTGCTATCATTGCAGGGTTTTTCATGCCCTTGATTATCTTGAGTTATTGCTCCATGCAAGTCATTGCAGAACTCACGAGAAAGAAAAATGAAAACTGTCACAAGGAAAAGTTAATCAGAAAGGCTGTCTACATCGTGTCTGCAAACATGGCTGTGTTCATCATATGCTTTTTACCTCTCTACCTTGGGCACCTCCTTCGCTTTATAATGGACTCCATCAGCTCCAACTGCTCTGCAATACAAAGGGTTAATAATTTTGTTCACCTCGCCTCAGTCCTCGCAAACACAAACTGCTGCCTGGATGCTATTTGTTACTACTTTGTCAGCAAGGAATTTAAGGAAGCATCCCCCAACCTAGCAAAGTCCAAATCTGAAGCCAGTAAAGAAGCTGAAATTCAGCTCCCACATATAACACATTAGTGCAAAACACATGCAGCACACATTTTATACGTGCTATTTTTAAGTTCAACTGGGACTCAATAGCAGGCTTTTACATGTTCTTTTTGTGTGAGTGGGATGGAGGGACTTTCTGCTAATGGGAAGGATTCAGACACATGAAAATTAGCCCTGATTCAGACAACCACAGCAGTCCGGATCCTGATGTAATGATCTAGGTTGCCACTGGTAATTCTCTGCCCTATGCAAATTTGAGTTAAATGATAGCTTTCCCCTGCAAAAACTGTCTTTCATTTTCCCAGAAGACCCAAAACAAGTACAGCCAGCGGTAAAGGCGATTTTTGTCCCACTTCTCCACCTTGGATCAGTTTTTATGGAACTGTAGCTGTGACAAAGAAACAGAGGTTATTCCAAAGATCAAAAAAAGAAAAAAAAAGTCAAGTTGAAACAACTGCAGAAAAAGAAAGGAGGATGCTTTTATAAGTCACAAACGTCTTGTTTTTCAGTTGGTAATAATGCACAATCACAGTAGCAGAGGCAGAATTAGCCTGCTTTAGACAAGTTTACAGCACCATTCATACTACATAACAGCTGATGTTTTGACCATAAATGGTCATCAATTGCAATACAAAGTCAGAAGAAATTGCAATTGCTTCTACTGGGGAAAAAATTTACATCAAAAGCATTTGAGTCAAATGGCATTAAAGCTACTATCCAAAGAGTTGGGGTGGGGCAGTGGGAATAAGGACTCTATTAGGGGTCTACTCAACCTTATAATGTAAAGGACTGTCTAAAGAAAGTGGCAGCGAGATGTTCCAAAGTATCCAATATAAATAAAGTCATGCAACTGGCACAGAACGGAGCCTCTTAATGAGTTAAATGGAAAAAGTGGCGGATTGGGTGGTACAGGATCTGCTCTGCTGCCTGTTCCCAAAAGGGACAGCTCATCTCACTGGCTGTCCAAGCAAGGGGCAGGGGGTATGAGCTGCAACAGAGACTGGGATTTTCAAAGGCAGAACAGTGCATGCCACCCTGTGATGCACTTACCCACAAACAGCTAAGTAGGTAAAACCACTAACCAGCCCCTTTGTGATGATGTTCAGACAGCATCCACGTGCCCCAGGATGGGATGTACCAGGCATATGCCTCCACCCGCATTTCCCGACCCCAGGCTGGGCTTTCATCTGCCTGCACATGCTGGGCCAAACCCTGCTGCCACTACAGCAGCCTTACAGTCCCACTTCCAGCTCGGCCTTTGTATCTCCTCCTACTCAAGGCACATGCCAAAAGGAAGAAACCCCTTAAAGAGAGACCTTGCTGCAGGCAACCATTGAGCAGAGCCCTCCATCCACCTGCCCAGCAAAGTCCATGCCACCTGCATAGGACAGTAGCAAAGCCCTGACAGCTTCTCAAGGGGATGAAAGCTTCTCACCGTGCTTGCCAGAGATTCTGGAAGAAATGGGGAAATCTGCTCTGTCATCAACAAAACATGACAGCAGGATCTGGCCTTCGTTCACTGCACAATGTGGAGAGGGAAGTCAGAGAGGCTCTAGTTGCAAAGACAACCTTTTAAGGACGTTGGTTTCTCCCCTCTTCTACCCCTACATTTTCTTTGAAAAGATCAAAGGAGCAATGAATGGTGCTGTGCATGCAGACATGGATACCTCTTCCCAGCTCAGCCCAAGGTGCAGCACGGCCCTAGCAGTGATTTCACACTACTCAGCCTGACACAGTGGGGCTCACACTTTGCCTTCCTCAGCCCTGTGTGCTGATGGATCTCCTACATTTCTGTAGTAACATATGCACCTTTGTGACTTTAATTTGATGGGCTGCTCCCAAATAAGGCTAAGCATACCTTTAAGATTTCCTCCCCCGTATGGGATTTGTGTGCTGAGAGTGCAGTGATTTGAGAGATTACTTGAATGCCAGTGTGTTTTTTCTACATCTCGAGTCTCACCAACATGGGTGCAAACTCTTCAGAGGTGAAAGCTCTGCACAAACCAAACTGCTATTTTAGATGCACAGGAAAAAAATACTGCTCCAGTAACCACTAATTAAATGGGTGGAGGAGATACAAAGCTACCTACAAACAAAGTATTTCCGAGCAGATTCTGCTAAGCTGTCTCATTCCGAGTAACGCCCCTTCCTTTAGCAGCCATTCGCCCAGAAATACGTACCATGAACGCTTGGCCGAAGACAGCCAAACTTCCTCACCACAGAAACCTCACACCAAAGTCTCTGCATAGCAGTGAGTCCTCAGGTGCTTACTGGGGTTTGGAGAGGGAGGGAGCCTCAGAGGGGCTGTGGAGGAGACAGTCAGTTTGTGCTAGTGCAAGATGGTGCTAGGCAGGGAGTGCAGGGGTGGTCCTTGCTGCCACAGCCAGCCTCTGCAGCAGCTCTGAGCAGGACCAAGGCTACTCCTAATGACTGCCCAGGAGCAGCTGGTTAATGAGGGCAAAGAGGCAGGAAAGCATGTTTCACTCTCAGAAAAGAGGTATAATAAATTATCCCTTTGACATAGGACCAAAATCTCTGTTCTTCACCATCTGAGCAAGGTCTATTCAAGTACAGGGCAGTCAGGGATACAGATGTGCTGGGGCTGAAATATGTGGCACAAGGACCAAGAAAGCCCCGCAGGCTCCCCAGCTAGAAAACTGGACCATGCTGTTCTTTTTTTTCCCCTTTTTTTTTTTTTTTTTTTTTTCCCCCACCTGGACCTTTTGGGTTGATTTAGTAGAAGGAGTGTCCTCTAAATTCATAACCCATCTGCCCAAGCTCTCCCACACCATACAGAGAAGAGCTAACGGATGAATTAAGCAGTGAGGAGGCAGCAGCAATCTACAGTAGTAGACATTTCTGGTGGTTTCAGCAGCCTCAAGGAGAGAGGGGGGATCTGAGCACTTGCCAACAAGATACTGATTCTTCCACCACCACCTGGAAGGCAGACAGCCCCCACCCCACACACAGACAGACTGTAACTATTAAGGTCAAGCAGGTCTTGCCTGGCTTGCTTTGATCTTGCTGCAAAAACCTAGCTATCTCATCATATCCACCAAGCTTTCAAATATGTACAACTTAACCTTCATAGCATAGGATGAGCTCCGTCTTTCAGATATCCCAGATTTCTCTGGAGCCAAGTCTGGACAACATCAACCTCATGCTTTCCAAGTGATGAGGTACAGGCGTGAGGAGGGCTGGAACCTACACCTCACAGGCTAGCCAAGGCAGGTATTTCCCACCATGCATGACTGTATCCTGCCCTCATCAGGCCACACTGCCCTCCCAGCAGCTGCAGGACACAGATGGGCACAAATGTCTTGCACTGGCATCTCCTACATTGTATTGATTCTAATTCTATGAACTGATGACAGAGCTGGGCACAGCCAGTTTGATACCCTTCACAAGCACTAGATGGACTTGTTATAAAAAATAGTTCACTTGAAAGCACAAGTAGAGCTGCTGCAGCACACTGGAGGTGGCTGCACAGGCAGGACACACACAGAGCATAGGAATACATCCAAACCTCCTTCTAACTTTCATGCTGTTGTTCACAGAGATCTTGTAATGTCTCACACCAGTTTTCTTGCTTGGGGCTTTCCATTTGCTGTTGCTGTCACATTTTAACTGAACCCTGCTGCCAAGTACTGAACCAGGGTAGCTGACAAAAAATGAGAGTTCAGCTGAATGTCAGGTGTGGGAGGAAAGTGTGAAAGCTGTCACCAAAAAACTGTGACATACTTCAAAGATGCTTTCATCAGAGACAGAAAAAGAGGGCACTTCTGGGGAAGTGAAAATGAGGGTGGGTCATTATCATTAGCCTGAGACAGAAGCATTCCTATGTCTCTCAGTTTCTGAACGAAGGCTCAGAAACATCAGCCAGTCACTCCAGTGGGATGAGCTGTCCAGTATGGGCACTGCATGCACCAGCTGGGGACAGAGCCTGACACCATGCGCTCCTCCTCCTCAAAGGTGCTAAAAGGCTGCAGCATCTGCAACCCTGTCCATCAGAAACTCTGGCAGAAGTCTGCCGGCAGCTTTACTAACTTCAAAACTCCTGTTTCACTTCTGTCTGCTAACATTTTTCTACCAAGATGAACACTTCATACATTTGGCTTTTCTGGCCCTTGGCTTTCAAGCCAGGCTCCCTGCTTTGGTTCAGTAAAAATTCAGCACCGATATTTCAAGCATGACTTTTATCAGCCTCAAAATTACAGCCGCAAGTCTGCAGGTCTCTTGCCCTTTGTGGGTGCCACAGCCTGCAGTCATTTTTTTATGCCCTATGTTGCCGTATAAAAATGGTCTCCAGAAACATCATGTTTCCACCAAAAGTGACGTTGCACTGACCAGGGACCAAAGGGCCTCAAGCTGCGCCAGGAGAAGTTTAGGTTGGATAATAGAAAAAACTTCTTCACCAAAAGGGTAGTCAGGCATTGGAACAGGCTGCCCAGGGAAGTGGTTGAGTCTCCATCCCTGGAGGTATTTAAAAGAAGGGTAGACGTGGTGCTGGAGGACGTGGTTTAGGGGTGGACTTGGCAGTGATAGGTTAACAGCTGGACTCGATGATCTTAAGGGTCTTTTCCAACCTTAACGATTCTATGACCAGCTTTTCTCAGTGCCCCAGCAGAGGGACTCTGCATCATGTCTCCACCACAGAAATGTCGCATTTCAGAAGGGTAGGACACCATCATGCACACCCTACGTGGATCACACAGCTCCTCCATGTTGCTGCAGCTATTTCACGACCTGCTTAAGTTAACATGTTTACACTTCTGCCTGTCACAACTATTATTCAATAATTTCTTCTGAGAAGAGCCCTGGATGGTGGAAGGAAGGGGACTGCATAATCTAATCTGGTTTCACAGCAGAGAGGCGGCAATGGACAATTGCTTGACAGCCACTATGGGCAGGGCAGGGCAGCACAGGCAGAAGAAGGTCAGAAGTGACCTTCGGGCAGGAAGGAAGAGATTCTTGTTTAAGCTATAATTTAATGGTAAATTAGATCTTTAGCTGCTCATTTCCTTTCCTTGCCATTATTCTGGTGAATGGAAAAACACAGCTGATGTTCAATACCTTCCTACTCTCCCAGTGGCAACTGAGTAATCATGAAGCCCTTTTTTTTATCACTTCAAGGCTGCTCCCTTTCATGTTCTGGGCACCAACCATATCAGACTTGAGTGGCATTTAACATGTCCTTAGGAGCTGGCTTCCAGACCCTGCTGCCAGGCAGCTCCCAGTCACCCACTGTGCCACCCTGCGCCCAGGGTCCGGGGCGGGGGGACAGAGTGAGCTCTGTGCCTGGGAGGAGTAGACCCGCCAGCCATGACCCTTCACC